CGACGAGACCGAGATCTTCGACGCCGTGCAGCCCATCCCCTTCTACCACGACATTTTCTTCGCGGAGTCGCCCACCGCCATCGACAAACCGACTGAGGACAGCGAGAGCCAATCGGCATTCCGCAGCTTCATGGACATGATGGGCGTCTTCATCAAGTCGTCCATAAAGGGCGGCAGGGGAGGGGCGGAGGTGCTCAGTGTGACTGTCGATGGCCGCACAGTGGCGACCACCGACGCCACACTGGCCGATTTCGACACACTCAACGACCGATTCACCAAGTGAGAAAGGCAAGGAGGAGATGACAGAGGGAATGTGTGTCATTGGCTCTCCTTCTCCCCTGTGTCGCGTGTGCAGGTATGGTGATGTTCCCATCGTCGATGTGTCTGGGCACCACTTCGACTTGTGAGTACCCAGACAACCACCAAAGGCAGCAAGACAGCGGACCTATCGTCTGTTGGTTTGTTCAGGATCGTTGATTTCGCTCGTCGGTGTCGCCTGGCCTCCGAAGGCGCCGTCGTCCCGCCGCCCACGTGTGCCCACCAGGATGAGCTGGTGCGTGTGAGTGAGATGTACGGCGTCCTCGAGGCCATGTACCCCAACATCCTCGCCAACGACGTCATGCAGACCCTCCTCATCATGATCGGCAAGAAACAGCCCAACAGACTCTGCCTCTTCAAGTGAGGAAGAACAAATAGGCGCCATCGCGCCATCGCGCCATGCTTCATGCATTCGTCGGCACGTCTGGCTGTGTGTGTGTGTGTGTGTCAGGAGTTCGCTGCACGGTTCGTTGTATGCCAGTCTGGTGCAGCGGGTGGTGGGGCGCCGCGGCCTCCTCTTCGTCATCAAGTGCGACGACACCAACACCATCGCAGTCTTCGCCGACACCAAGCTGCACCTGCCGGCCGACCCCACATCTGAGCTGCACTTCGACTGCCCCGTGTCGCTCTTCTCAGTGTGCGGTGCGTTCGAGGAGGGCGTCACCAAGATCGAGGTGCCCAGGGGAGAGCAGTTTGTGGTGGTGGCAGGCACACAGGGGGCGGTGACGGAGGAGGCCGGTGAGCCACGGGGCAATCTGGCCATCGCTGACGGCCGTCTGTGGCTGGGGCGGGGCGAGCATTGCCCGACTGACGACCTTCTCAAGTGCTATCAGTGGGTGGAGAAGAAGGAGCTGCCGGCCAACAGGAAATTTGTGGGCAAGACCATCAGCAGCGAGGATGCGAGCCTCTGTGGTGCTGAGACCTACTCCTTCACCGCTCAGCGAGTGGAGGTCTTCCAGGTCAGTCAGCCAGGCATCAACCAGAGGGCACAGAAGTGGCTGTGGACATCATGAGATCTTCCTCCTCTCTCTGTGCAGGTGTGGAGTGCTGTGCCGGCCGACCCCATCCTGTCTGACAGTGACCTGCGAGCACTCGTCGACGCGACCGGCATGACGGATGCGACCCCACAACTACTCTACAAGTGAGCAACCGACGACAGGCAGGCTGTTGGTGCCTCGAGGATGATATCCTTTGCTGCTTTCCTGTCTATGTGTCAGGGCTGAGTGTGACGGCTGGGAGCAGGAGGCCATGTTCAAGAATGTGGGCGACGCTCCCGACCTCCTGCTGCTCCTCAAGGACCTCGGCGGCCCCGTCATCGCCGCCCACATCGAGGGCGGGCTCACCCCGCCCGCAGACCCCACTGCAGTGACCGTGACCCGCTACCCCGTGTCGCTCTTCTCGGTACGTGGCGCGTTCGAGGGCGACGGCATCACCAAGATCGACCTGCCTACCGACGAGCAGCCTGTTTGGGTCGCTGGCACACAAGGGGTGGTCAAGAACGTGGTGTGTGACCCGAGCGGCAAGGTGTGCATCGGTGACATGATCCACAAGGCGCCCGGCCGCCTGTGGCTGGGCTTCAGCTCACTCTTGGGCTTCAGCCAACGGGAGAGTGCCGACCTTCGCCGCTGCGCTCAGTGGCTGCTGAAGGACTGCCTCCCGCCCGACAAGAAGTACATCGGGACCATCACCAACAAGGGCCGCGCCAGCCTGGCCTCCAGCTCCAACTTCACAGCTGCTGATATGGAGATCTACACACTGCAGGTGAGGAAGAGAAGGAGCAACAGAGACAGAAACGGATGAGTTATGCGTCCCTCTCTCCTCTCCCTCTCTCTGTGTGCTCAGCCGTCTGCAGGGTGGCATTGGCTGAGTGCCGTCGCCTCCTTGATGATGACCTCGCCCTCGACGTGACAGCTGTCTTTTTCGTTTTTCGCTGTGTGTCTATGTGTATACGATCTCTATTTGTCCCACGTGTCACGCCAGCCCGTGGCGAGTCTAGATTTGCCGGCAGCTTCTGCACGTGTGTGAGGGTGAATGGATTGTGTAGGTAATCATGGCGGGCCGAGAAATGCGGAGGCGATGACGTGCCGACATGTTCGTTTATCGACTTAATTCCGTGCATGTATGCCGGCAGCCAATGACTCGACCCACTAACCTACCATGTGTGTGGCAACAGAATTGAAGATATTCACACAATCAGACGAGTCCCGCACACAATATGAACCCAGCCATCCATCCATCCATCCATCCATCCATGGGCTATCATGCCTCACTGGTAACAACCATCCACACACGCTCACATGCCGGCATGGATGAGTGAGCATGAATGACCAGGCATCAACCGAGGCGCTGGGCTGCCAATGGAGCGCGAGGATCAACTGTACAGTGCCCACGTGCACACACCGCAGCTGGGCGGGCCACTCATCCATCCATCCATCAAGAGAGTGTCTGCACGTGGACCTAATCAGATGGCCGGCCATGCGGCAGCTATGACTACGGTGCTGTCATGTCTTGTCTTGTCCTGTCTTGTCTTGTGTGTGGACAAACAGACAGACAGCCTGGCCACACACACATACACACACGTGTGCGGTGTGCACACAGAGTGAGTCCTCGACCGCCCCCCGTGTCGTTCTCACCGATTAATAGCGACGAGATGCCTCCACCAGAGTTCCCACTGTGTTGATGGTGAAGTCGTCGATCTCCGTGCCGTTTGGG